TTACTACCACTGATGTGACTGTTACCGACAATAGGACATTTCTTGATGGAGCAGATGTACCCCATGTGAAGCAGAAGCCAACGAGACGGAGACCAGTAAGAAAGAAGATACGTCCTGTAAAATTAAGAGACTTTGTTGAATTTTAATTTTGTGTTTGTAAATTCTGTACATTTAATTAAGTTATTGTTGATTATCTATTAGTTTAATGTAAGTGGCTATTGTTCGGGATGAACAATACTAAGGAAGGGGCAGTGTTACGACAGCAGAAGTCACGCAACACTGGGAGCACGTGAGCTGGAGTTTCTAGAAGGATCATGACTTAGCGGGCAACCTCACGAATGTTCCTGCGTTTGCTAGATACTCTCTTTTTTTAGTATATAAGCCGGAGACAGATTGAATGGACATAATCGAGTCAAGCAAGCAGTAGGCACCGTAAGTAAAGTGTGAATTATAGTGTGTTTATACAAGTAGTTAAGTTTAAAGTGACTGTGGAAATTAAATGTATTACAAAGTTTGTATCCAGAAAAAATAAAAATAGTTTCAATTAAGAAAGGACTTGTATTGCTAAAGTTTCTCAGAAAGAATTTTTATGGGAAATTATCAACCAAGCAGATACGTAACAGTTAGTATAGGGGAATACTGATCTATGAAAAGGAGAAAATATTAGAAATCAAAGAAGCAAAATAGGACACAGATGAGTTAAGAGTAAGGGTTTCTTTGACAAAGGGTGAAAAGGAGAGTGCTGGGATTATATGGGTGTACAGTAGTAAAAAAGTTAGGGCTACAGAGAAAGGTTCATTTTGTAAAATTTAGAAGAATAACTTATTTCAGCCAATGTTTCACCCTTCCAGCTTCCTCAGGACTAGTAGTATAAGAACTAGTACAGTACTAATACAGTTGTTGTACTGCTAGCCCTGAAGAATCCATGAGTGAAATATTAGTAAAATAAAATTTTATCACCATCTGAAGAGTAAAGGTCATTTTTTCTCTGACTTTATTGACAAAATGTCTAAATTCCTCCAATATACGCCACAAATTCTAAAAAACAGAGAAAGATTCAGTTAGCATAGAGGTACCAGTCTCAACTAGACTTGAACCTTTAACTACTTGCAGTTAGCTTAGTACTCATTCATTAAGCATAAGATAAAGACCATTATAGAGAATTTTTACAGTTTACTTCTTAGTATCAAGAATTGTCCTCTATTTTAGTGCATATAGGAGCAAATAATACTGGAAATTATAAATCAAACGAGTTGCTGAAAAAGTATTAAGAACCCATTCAGGTGTTTAAGAATAGAAATACATGTATGGCTCTTTAGACATTGTTCCTTCAAACTAGTCATGGGAATGAATTACCTAACAGGATTCAAAGTTTAAATGAAAGATATGTTTAGAGCAACAAGCAGGTTTGTTGGACCTGTGGGATAATTTTAAGGGTAACAGTGAATTATATGCTAGGGATGGATTCTGCCAAAACAGGCTAAAGTAGCAGAATATTCAGGAGAAGCTCTAGAGAAATTCATTAAAATCAGTTTATACTAAACTGGCATAGTGGTGAAGGAAATTGGAAATTAAGTGATATAATAGCTAGGTTAACAGGGAGACCTGAAAAACATCTATAACGAGTTAAATAACATTTTTAAAGGTAAGCCTGTCAGATTTAAAGATAAGCTTTGTTGTTCTTGTTCTAATGTTAGGTACAGTAGGATGAGACCAGGGTTCCAGTTGAAATGGAAGCCTATGATATAATAAGAATTACTAAAACTAGAAATAGATAGTTGATGAACAGCACCATGTAACAATTTAATAATAAAGAAATGAAATAGGGTATTAAAGATGTGTTTAAGCGAAACAAGTTACAGTAAGGGGTTTCAAGGTTACAAGTTTTTATTTTGCAAATCTTATAAGTAAGGTTGTAAAGAATAGTAGATTTTGACATTTGAAGGTTTGGAACATATTACCAAACAAAGGTTTGAACCATTGATAGTACTAATTTGCACAACTTACTGATGACATCACAATAACTACTAGTTTGTATTTGACTGAAAACACTTTCATTATGCTGGTGATCTACAAAATTAAATAAAATTTTCACATGTAATTTAAAAATACATTGTACAGAACTGTAACTATGTTTATATTTTGAATAAAAGTGTATTTGATGCTACATGCAATACTCATATAGGTAAATAGAGCAGGCACTGCAATAGCACCCTACTACAATTAATTAAAATAAATACAGCTCATCGAAGCAAAACAAATCTTTACTTAACAGTTACCATTCTAAGTAGGATAACAGTTAGTCCTTTTAACATAAAATTGTTGATTCATTAAACATATCAAATAAATAAACAACACACCAAAACAGAGTAACATTACCAGTTCGATTATAAAATGAATATGACCTTTAATTCTAACAAAATGTTACACGAAAGTACTATCATCATTCACATTTTTTTAAACAACACTTGATTAAACACATACCTTCCATAGGGGAGGAGGAGTGTACAGTTATATCAGTGCTTCTTTTTCAATATGAAAATTATTAGTGTTAGCATATATTTCATTTTTATTTTACCACACTTCTCTTACATCTTAGGTATTAGACATTCAGTACATTTTATTGAAGCAACACAGCCACTAAACATAGCCCTGTGCTCCACCATAAGGGTCTTCTTCAATGCATAGAAAAAGCTGTTAAGTATGTCTTGATAAATAAATAAATAAAACAACTTAAAGCTTACTGTACAGTGTTTAAGGCACACATGACAACAGCCATACTTATCTTCCTTTTTCAGTGTTCCCTATCTAGCCAGAGATAGCCATAAGTAACAGCAATCCTGTTCATTTAAATAGGTTGACTTAACAGTATTACTTATTGTTCGAATGTTATTAGTCCATGTATGGTAGTTTTTGACAAATACAATTAAATAAGCTATTCAGCAATATATATTTCTTTCACCAAGTAAAGAATAATGAATATTAACTTGCTATAACCCTTTTTGTTTAAGTAGTATTACCCTAAGCACACTGGTTATTTTTGTAGCTTGTAATAAGTAAACAATATATTAAGACTACACTATTATTTAGACATACAAGGTAAACATAAACAACAGGCATCAATGTGGTTAGTTATGTATCCATCATTAACTGGGTCACACCCTCACACTGTAGAAAAAATGTGGAAAAATGTTACAAGATATATTGTAAAAATTTAAAAACACATCTATAACAAAAACTTCTTTTATTAGCTATGTTTCAGGCACATTTGTCATGCACAAGAAGAACACGTGCATATCGTAATGTATTCCATCATACCAATAAAAGAAGTTTTTATTTTGATTATTTTTGTGAGTCATGGCACAAGTCATTTAAGTTGAACCTCCTTAAATGAATCAAAAATAATAACACGGAGTCATAATGAAATATTTTTATGAAACATGACAATAATTGACTAGTCATAATTTGAATTAATCAATTATTTTACCTGACAGTAATCAATGTAATTGATGCTCATACGTAATTGATTATAGCTAGTAATTGAGTTTATCATCTAGCTTTAATAATTATCAGTTTTACTGTTTTAACTTATTGTTTAAGGTCATATCAATGACCGGATACATTGTTAGGCACTGGCACATGGAACCTGTGCCCCAATTCTATTTGACAGTGCCTTGAATCCCCAGTTTGTATTTTGAAAAATCAGAATAGAAAACCATGATCAGAATCATACTGAAATATAAATATTTCCATGCCTATTGGCCCGAGTCAAAATCTTTTAAGTACCTAGATGCCCCTGTCAATGACACAGATTAAAGAATGGTTAATAAATTACTTAAATTTGCTTATGATAATAAGGTTTTGGGTGTTTCTGGCTGTAAGGTTGCTGCTACTGCTTTACAAAAGGATTTACACGATTTGGCAAGCTGGAGAAATAAATGCCAGTTTTTAATTATAATGACTGCAATGCATGCGAGTAATAATTTAACTTAAATGTATTATTTTGATAGGAATAACCTTAACAGTGTTATGGAAGAAAAGGATATTGTTGTTCTGGTTGATCAGTCTTTTACACCATCAACAAAATGTACTATTGTTGGTTGTAGCATAAATTGGATTTAAGGCTGTATCTAAAAAAAAATACGAATATATATATATATATATATGTGTACATGAAAATGCTATAATTTCATTGTATAAGTTACTGGTTAGGCCTCATTTGGAGTATTGTGTTCAGTCTTAAGCTCCTTACCTTAAGAAAGACATCAAATTTTTGAAAAGGGTGCAGAGGAGTACTAGAATAATATTGATAATGATAACTGAGATTAAAACTTCAAAGAAAAGGTTGTCATGTGAGCAGATTAAGATCTTTGATATTGTTTTTCTTGAAAAAGTAGTAGTTCACTAGTTCTAGTTGAGGGGATTTGTTTGAGGTGTTTAATACTGTTAAAAGAAATGATAGTATTGATATAAACTTTTTCACGGTAGGAGTTATCTTCAACTAAGATAGTTTTATTTTTCTTATACTGAGAGGATTGTTGGCCTTTAGTCTTTAGAATGGGTTACCTTAATCAGTTAATGTGTGTTGGGTGCAGAAAATTTACGTGAGTTTGACTTAATAAGTTAATTCTAGTTTTAATTTAACTGAAGACTTAGTTGGTAAGTATTTAAATTATGAGGACTAGCTTTGAGTTTATTTATTTATTATAGTTTAACTAAATTAAAGTCACTCCAGCAGGCTTCATCTTAATAAATTGAAAAGCCTAAGACTTCAACTCTGTACAAATTACAAGTTCGATACAAGACTACAACTTACTGTAACAGTATAAAGTGTTAGTGTTACACAAATTACAGTGTTAGTGTTAGTATAGCTTTAACTTTTAAGTTTAACTTTAAGCCTAAATAAATTAATTTTCTTGAAATGCGCAAAAAAATTCTGATCTACTTTTAAAATTACCGTACTAGTAATTGTCTGAGATTAAATTATTTACATCACCTACCTTTAGTATACTATAATTATAAAATAATAAGCACACAACACTGAGTTAACTCAAAACCTCGCGGTGATTTCAAAGCGGGAACTCAGAAGAAACCAAAGGGGCAGGTAAAGGGTAATCAAATAAATAAATAAATAAAAGGTGGAAAGTTATAATTATTATCATATTTGGCATATTAGAAGAATTACACAAATTAAAAATCATAACGTGGAAAAATATATATGTGATAATTAAATTTATACCGAAATATGTAGGATGAAATTGATTAAAACTAAAACACGAAAAACCTTAGCGTTTTCAACAGGAAGCGTTAGGTTCTATGATTTTTTTTTGCTATTATGAAGTTAAATTATACTCACTATTTCAAGTTCAGTATTTATTAAACACGCGGTCTGCTGACCTCATGATACACAATAAAGTTCAATAACGATCATACGCATAATTTTTTGTAAACGTATAAGTCCAAATACCAGCTAGTCTTTCACACTCTAGAATTTTCCTCTATAGTTAGAAAATACCCCTTTTTACCAACACATCATTACAGGTATTAATTCAGAAAATTTGAGTATATTTCTAACATCTTCCGACTTATCTGCTAGATGTACATGGTGTATACATGCTGTTCAATACCACATTTGTTAATTTACTGGCATAAGTTGGGTTATTGTTGTTTTATTTTTTTAGGGAATGGTCATTATAATTTCATTACCTCCTTGGAACTCTAAATGTTTATTGCATAGGTACTCGGAATAGGGATAAAAATGCAAATTAACTTTAAACGGAAGAGATTTTGCCATCACTAAATGCGCCAAATCCCATTATATTTCGGTTTAGTTTGTTTCGGAAATTCGTGCAAAGCTACAAAACGGCTATGGTTAACCATCACTAAATGCGCCAAATCCCATTATATTTCGGTTTAGTTTGTTTCGGAAATTCGTGCAAAGCTACAAAACGGCTATGGTTAACCATCCCTAACTTTTAACTGATAGGCTAAAGAGAAAGTAGCCAGTCAACATCACCCACTGCCAACTCTTAGATTAGTCTTCTTTGTTGAACTAATGGGATTTGACTGTAGCTCAGCCTCTTAAAACACACCCACGACCCTATACTGTGGAATGAGTTTGGAGGCAACGGTGACGAACCATTAATCCTAGGATTCACAATCCGATCACGCTAAGCATTAAACCATGGTCAGTCCCAATAAATATGGAATGTTTTCACTTGGTTGGCCGGCTTCTAATTTAATTTTGCTGTAAAAAAATGCGTTTTAGGATAAAATAACACCACAAGTGTAACGAGAGCCATACTTTCTATCATAAAAATTATAACAAATATAATAAATTATATTACTTTAAAAAGATGTGAAAACTGAAACTGCTTGAACAAACTTAATATTAACTGCCAAAACCCACAAAAAAATGGAAAGACTTGAAGCATAACCAGACGTTTATATTACAAATTTATAGACATTATTATCTAAGAATAGTATTACCATATTGGTACGTCTCCGTTTGCTACTTAACTTTCCGTAACTTCGTTCCGAT